CAGCTCTGACACCAGAACCAGATTAAGGTTCCAGAATACTAGTTTATAATATAGTCTAAGTGCCAGTTTCAAAATCAATTGCCAGAAATGAGAAAAAACTGCAGCTAAATAACATTCATCTGAGTCGCTGCAAAGAAAGAGCCTGCACATAGGTTTTGTGGCTCAAAAAAGTCAAATGCATTTTTTAGTTTGCCTTTAAAGTCAAAGAAATGTGCATGTTGGCATTGCTGCCCTCTTCTTAAAGGGTTAGTTCACCTTCTCACAAAAAATGAAAAGGTGAACTAACTCATAATACTGATCCCCCCCCAACTCACCTTCTGCTCCCTGCTGCACTTAGCTGCAAGGATGACCATCATCAGCCACCCATGTCAGCTGGTATACTGGTCCTGACACTTGACAACTTCACTACACAGCCCTGAAAGCTGTATATTAATATAATGCTTGCTGACCAATAAGAATATTTTCTGAGTATTCTTTCTTCCAGGACGGCATCCAGGAAGAAAGAAGAGAATCTAATTGGTCAGCGCGGTTACAATGGCGCACTGACCAATGACCACATCACACTGTTGTACTGGCAAGTGGCCAGTAGCAATGTCACCCTTTCCTGGGTGAGGAAACACTATTAAGAATAATACAAATGTATTTACATTGCCTAAACTTTTTGTAACTATGTAAGAAGGAAGGGGGAGGGAGGAGATGGGGGGTACTTATTTTATGCTGAAAAGCCTGCTATAATTTGCTTATCGTCACCGCTGATGTACAGAAAGTGCCCGCAGTGGGCTGCCTAGCTATATGTAACAGGAGACGACATTTTACACTCACATTTGCTTCCGTATTAACAACTATGGTTGTGAAAAAATTGCGTGTTCAGAAGTCATAAAGTTGCTCGCCATCTGCAAAATAGCTTTCTAAAGGAAGAAGGTTGAATTCATTGCTTTACCAACCACTGCAGGCATGAGTATTTCTCAATATTCTGTTGAAACTGGTAAAAGATCTGCAATGGGTATACCAGGTCTAAGGGGGATAGAATAGAGAAGGGATTTAACCCCCTTTTTCATTGCAGTATGTGTTGCCTGTTGGGAAGATTTCCTTTCACATCCTGTCCTGATGGCCACACATGAAATGATATACTGATCTTTACAGTATCAAATAATAAAATAATTTTATAGCTGTGTTCCCATTGGTACTGCTCACTTTGTGTACCAGTGACCACAGAGGAGGTAAAGGAAAATCTTATTGTGGACACAGATCTGACCGTCGCTATAATGAGGCATCATGCGGCGGTTGCCTCAGATGGCATCTCATTAGGGGCAGCAGGTGTGGGGGGTAGGTGGCCACAGCATTCTAGGTTGCTAAGAGATCTTAATGAGCTCAATAAACTGGGCGGGATGCCATGCAGAGTCACTGACAGCACATACACACAACCCACCCCTCCCCTCAAATGCCCATTAACTGCTAGCAC